ACTTTTGGTTGCCAGGTCCTACACTGATGGGGAGGGGTGAGGGAGGTGTTGGAGGAGATGATGTTGGAGAAGCATAAACTTTTTTCTCATCATCCTCCTCCATTGAAATATTTTTTCTTTTCACAAAATACAAAATAATGTTCTCTCTTTGTTGGCCCTGGAGGTATGTAATTAGTGTTGCATTAGGACATGCCGTCTGAGGCAATCTCACTTTCCCGGGAGTTTTTCTGTTTGAATCTTAGGTATAAACCTAACGGTCATAGGCATGCTCTCCAGCTGCTCTTTCCCTGTTGGGGTACATTTTTACATGCCAATTTGGTAAGCTGCTTTCATTTTCTTACATGGTTTTGGTTTTGTACTTTGGGCTTCGGTCAATATTTTTTAATAATAATTTTTATTGTTATTGCTGTAATTGGCTCGCTCAATGTTCGATTCCGAAGTTGAATTTGGATTTCCCGTTAAGTCTCTACATTTACAAATTGTCTAATGATTTAAAACATGACACGTTAATTAGCATAAAATTGCTTTTAGTAATGTCTAACAAAAAAATAGTCACAAAAGTGCTTTATAGAGAAGCACGTATTAGGTTTTTTTCAAGAATAATCCAGAAAACACTTGAGTTTTCAATAAATTTTTTAAAATGCTTCTCTATTAGAAGAACGTTATGCTAAGCTCGTCAGAACATCTTTTGTGGTCACTTTTTATTGCAAAATATTTTTGATTAATTGGTCGCAAATAAAATCTAAGTTATCAATGTTTTCCATACCTTTCATTTTGTTGGGTCTTATAAGGCCGTTTCTGTGACGATAGAGCCCATATGCTAAAGCTTACAAACAGGCCCAAGGGGTACTAGACAAACAGATGCCTGTTTTGTTATTTTCTTTTTATTTTCTTTTTATAATTAGTTATTTATATGCACACATTCATCATTTTTATAGTCACAAAATTTTCACTATAGCGTTTCTAAATGATTCTAATGTTCATTTCATTCGTGTGTGTATATATATATATATGGGCACGCACAATTGTATTGTTATTATGTTCGTTATTCATAAAATTTTATGGTACTAAAAATAGAGTTTTTATGCAAAGTGCAAATTTTTTTCATTCTATTTTAGATGTCTAACTAAAATGTTGGAGGAAACCAAATGTTAGTATATATATTTTAAATTAGTTGTTGTATTATATAATTTAATATTGATTAATAGTATTATAAAAAACAACATGACAGTCTAAATATATAATAAAATCTAGTTTTCTCAATGAGGTCAGGATTGGGTTACACATGTACAATTCTCAAACATCTAAAAGTGTTGTAAAAATGCTCCAAATTGAAATTGAAATAGGCAAGATTCAAGTCCGAATAGTTGGTCATGAGGAAATAGTTTTTTGTTTTTTATTTTTATTCAGATGAGGAAATAGTTACCACCACCAAATTAATACCATTTATCTATTTTAGTTGTCACCACAAAATCAATATCATTTGTAAGAGAAGGGATTCAGTTTGCGTGGGAAGGATGTGGCTCCGCTTTGGCTGGGGACGACATTGACAACAGATTGTGAAAACACCTAGTCTTTTTGTATTGTCTTTATGGGAGTAATCGTGGTACTCTTTTTCCTTATCAGATTTTCCTCCCTTGGGGTTTTTAAAGGTAAGGTTTTAATGAGGCCACAATATGACTCCTCTGCCGATTAGAAGTCGATGTACTATTTCATTGTTTGTTTGAATGAAATTCCACCATTTAATCAAAAAGTATAAAAGTATGCCACATCAGTACATGACATTTACAGCCACAATAATCGAAGATACCTACACTACAACTTTGAAGTATCCTCCCGTGCCATCAAAACATTCTTTATCAAGTGCCTAACTTAAACAAAGTGTTGGGATGCGTAGTAGAAATGAAAATTGCTCGAGGATTAGGAGACCCTCAAATCCAAATATCTAATAGTGAGTTTAGGTACTTGAGATTGATGTAACCTCGATCTAACAATTTGATCAACTTAACCCCGAGATTTTTATGTTGCTTTTACCTGATGTGCATTGCCTGCATTTCCCGCACTCTCGACAATCCTGAAAAATAGCTATTGGGAACTTATATCACCTGAAGAAGTATAGCAAATTAGCAATAATAATATAATGTCACAGCAGTGCGGAGTAGTTGATCATCCTCATCCTACAAACCATTAAAACCTTATTGATATTTTCTCTACGCCTTTTTGTATTTCTTATATAAGTGAAACTGTCCTTTACTTCAAACCTAAGGAAATAAGTTTTGGTGCTGTAGTGTATCACAAGAGCAACAGTTCAGTATAGCATGGTTATCTTCAACACACTGATTGTATCACTCCTAGAACAATGCTTGGCTCTTCACCAGTGTGGATGAAGGTAATCACCGATTTAAAAGCATGAATTGTTGAAAATGGTGGGGAGTACCATATTAAATTGTTGTTAACTATAATCATTTAATGTTGCAAAGATAATAGGAGAAAATGGTGAGTGTGACATCTCAGTAGGAAGGAAAAAGTTCTTCCTCACCAGTGAGGAGCCAAGCATTGTCCTCACTTCTATACCTCAAGGATCACCTCTAACCCAAACCTGAGCATCCAATGGAAGGGCCAATTTAGCTCAACACATGTTACAAGCAAGGCACATACATCTAGAATATAAAAAATTAACTAAGAAATCGACTAAACAATTTTATGGCCTGATAATTGGAAACCACTTGTGCATTATGCTATAGTTTCTCAATCTTACATAAGATAGCTAGTACTATAATATAAATATAAGTAGATGAAAAAAAATAGGGAAATAACTTACCCTGTTGCTTCATGGCCAAATATTCGAGGAAAAATAGCCTGCAAAATAACAGGGGGGAAATGGAGTAGGATGAAATACCAGTATTCTCATGAATAAATTCAGCACCCTTTTTCCTAAGTTCTTATCAGGGAAGTATAACTGCATTGAAAGAACGGCGGTGTGGATGAAATACGAGTATTCTCCTGCTTCATGTGATGATGTGAGGGAGAAGGTAGAAGATGCTCTTTAAGGAGAATCCATGTTCAGTAGTAACCATCAAGGGGTATCCATAAATAATCATATTTTTGGTATCAACATACATAAATTACTTTTTTCAGTAAGATGAATACTCAGTTGATACTTAGCTCCTGATAGGTCTGAATTTCGAAAAATTTAAACAGGATATTAATTCATGGATAAGTTCATTACTTTAAACCAAGGTTTACTTCTTCTCAGTTACTTTAATGACTAATCTTGAACAATTGTTTTACAAGAAAATTAATCCATCCAGAAAGAAGAAAGCATGTCTGGCACTGGCAGTGGCACAAACAAAGTTTTAATTTTTCTTGGTCAGACAGAAACCATAAGTAATAGTTAAACGAATTTTCCTAGCCAGATAATGATTATTTTCCTAGATGTTCAAGAAGTAGGAAACAAGAAAAAAAGAATTGAAGGAAAAGTAATATTGTTTTATCTCTATTTGTGTTGAACAGAAGAAGAAAAGAAAGGGGGGAAAAGAGGAGGACAAAATAAGAAGAGGAGAGTACCTGAGACTCCCAGGCAGTGATGTCACTGCGACAGAGAGAGGTGCAGACGACTTTGATCCTTATCTCCATTGCCTGAGGTGGATTCACATTCACTTCCTCTATCACCAAAGGCTTTCCAGCTCCCCATGCCACCGCAGCTTTTACAATTTTTTTTTTAAAAACAAAATAATACATGATTAATAACTATAATTAGAAGCAAATTCCTACTTGTGTAGCCACCCTATATAGAACCATAGGGTGGTTACACCTTGAAAACAAGTCTTCCAATGTCCTTCAATGCTACCTCCAACCTCCCAACTGATTGCCAACGTTCTTCTGACTTAGAAGTGACCCCTAGAGTCCTTGCAAGTAGGTAGGAGGCGATAGCCCTTGAAAATGGAGTCCAAAACTCGAGGAATCAGAAACAGCACGTGCTGGGCGACCGGTCGCTAGTCGACTTCGCTCCAGACTTCGACTCTGCCTGAAAACGACCGGTCGCAAATAGCCAGCGACCGGTCGCTAGTCGACTTCGCTCCAGACTTCGACTCTGCCTGAAAACGACCGGTCGCAAATAGCCAGCGACCGGTCGCTAGTCGACTTCGCTCCAGACTTCGACTCTGCCTGAAAACGACCGGTCGCAAATAGCCAGCGACCGGTCGCTAGTCGACTTCGCTCCAGACTTCGACTCTGCCTGAAAACGACCGGTCGCAAATAGCCAGCGACCGGTCGCTAGTCGACTTCGCTCCAGACTTCGACTCTGCCTGAAAACGACCGGTCGCAAATAGCCAGCGACCGGTCGCTAGTCGACTTCGCTCCAGACTTCGACTCTGCCTGAAAACGACCGGTCGCAAATAGCCAGCGACCGGTCGCTAGTCGACTTCGCTCCAGACTTCGACTCTGCCTGAAAACGACCGGTCGCAAATAGCCAGCGACCGGTCGCTAGTCGACTTCGCTCCAGACTTCGACTCTGCCTGAAAACGACCGGTCGCAAATAGCCAGCGACCGGTCGCTAGTCGACTTCGCTCCAGACTTCGACTCTGCCTGAAAACGACTGGTCGCAAATGTCGTGCGACCGGTCGCTGGTCCAAGAATTAGTATCCTTTATGCGAGCCAATTTTCCGACAGAAATAACATACATACCTTTGCAGGTGATGACATCGGGTTGTTTTACGCAAGGCAATGACATTTGCATTTGTTGTGCAAAGCTTGTCTTTCCTGAATTAATATTTCGAAGACAAGACAGATAGACAGACAGACAGCGAACAATGAACAAAGAAGAACCAGATGAGGGAGATGACGAGGTTGGCTGGAGTGAGCAAGCAATTGTCTTTAGACAACGAGGTTGGGAAATAGTACATGTTGCTGCTCTATAGGAGAGAACCAACATATTACCAACATCAGGTGGAGGTTCTGTCAGTTCCAGGTCAGGATCATCTCCCCATATGAATCAGAACCACCCCGGCACCCAGACCCTAAACCCTAAAGAACCTGACCCACCTTGGCACACAGACCCGCCTAGCGCCGCCTAGACCCGCCTAGACCCGCCTAGAGCAGCCTAGCGCCGCCCAGACCCGCCTAGCGCAGCCCAGACCCTCCCATCGCCGCCTAGACCAGCCCTACAATGCATAAGTTTGAAAAATCGCTAGGCAGTAGGCTTAAAGAACAAAAGAAAAGAACCAGACCCACCCTGGCACCCACACCCGCCTAGCTCCGCCTAGACCCGCCTAGCGCCGCCCAGACCCGCCTAGCGCCGTGCAGACCCGCCCAGGCCGCCTAGGCTGATTTTTCTTAATGCAGAGTATGGATTGGAAGGAATGGTTTCAACAAGAGGGGATATTTGCTTCCAAGGTTGGTAAAGTATGTAGGTTCTGTTGCCCTCAGTGTAGGACATTAAGCATATCTATAGGTTTTTTTTTTTAATTCTTCTATATATGTAGGAAAAGAAAAAAATTGTAGAAATAGGGAAACAAGCACGGTAGACATTTGTGAGAACCAACCAACCCTAGTCTGCAATCTGCATTAAGTGAAAACAGGGTTAAGCCTGTCCGAAAAAATTCGAGTACAGCAGTCAGATCAGAGTTACCGCACTCGAGGCGACTGTTGGTAGGTTTGATTCCCATCCAGCCTGGGGTGAAGCGGCGAGAAATGATGCAGCGGCTTCTGGCCTTGTCGATGAGCCATAGGATGAGTTGAACGGGGCCTAGGCTCCCTTGAATTTTCATTGGCAGATTCAATCCGTTCCAATGTCTCCACAACATCCTTCATTGATGGCCGGTTTTTCGGATCAGTTTCAATGCACTTTAGAGCAAGCTGAGAAATTCGGAATGCAGCTTTGACAGGATATTTTCCCTCCAACCGGGGGTCCATAATTCCTTTCAATTTTCTTTTATCTGATAGGAATGGCTTTATCCAGTCCACTAAATTATGTTTCCCACTCGGACGATTTGTATCAAGTGCACGCAAGCCTGTCAATATCTCGACCAGAACAACACCAAAACCATACACATCGCTCTTCACAGACAAATGCCCTGTTCAATCAAACATGATATGAAGAATGTTATGGAATTAACTTGAATTTGGCCAAACCAAGGAGACCACAAATTCAATAGGTTACATAGAATTACCTGTGGCAATATACTCAGGAGCAGCATAACCATATGTACCCATAACTCGTGTTGTCACGTGCGATTGACTAGCTGAAGGACCCATTTTTGCCAAGCCAAAGTCGGATATCTTGGCGGTATATGACTGCAATACAACAAAAAGTTTAAAAAAAGCAAAAACAAGTTTAATTTGTCAGTCGATAAGCAACTTCTGAGTTTCTTTTTTTATATAATTTAGTCAGTATTTTCTAACCAAGCTTCAAACTTAAAAGCTACCGTGAAACCGAACCTCATGATTTATCAATTGAGCTAAAGCCTAAGAGTATCATTACTAATTTTTTCCTTTTTTGATTTTGTAAGAGTATAATTATTTGAATTACACATGATTTTATTCATAATAATGATTTGATGTTTCTTTCACCAGCATGATATGGTGGACAAGAATGAGATAGGTTGCACAGGAAGTGGTTGAAAACATGCCAAGGAAATGAGTACTATAAGATATCCGCCGTCATTAGTTTAGTACTCAATAACTGTTCATAATCAAATAGAAGTTTACCCCATCAAGTAGTATGTTTGAAGCTTTGAAATCTCTATAGATTACTTGCTTCTCTGATGTATGCAAAAAAGCCAAGCCTCGAGCTGCTCCTATTGCAATTTTAAGCCGTATATCCCACAGAAGTGGCTGAACAGCTGAGCCCCCTGCAGAAGTAAAAAGACCATGAAGTGTAAGGCAAAGGCAAAAAACGAACTTGATGTGTTTCAAAAACATATGAAGAACTTGCTGATTTGAAAAATGTATGACAAACTTGCATCACTTGTAAACACCCATATGCCTGCACACAGGGAAATGCTTGCATGTATACCCAGTTATGTCAAAACTTATTTATGCTTCTTTTCTTACTTCCAAATAGATGGTTTTCCAAGCTACCCTTTTGCATGAACTCATACACGAGCAGCAGCTCCGTGTCCTCCAAACAGTATCCCAATAGCTTTACAAGATTAGGATGAGATAGTCGCCCTAAGAAATTCACCTCTGACTGCACCAAAAAATAACAATCAGATAAGCACACAATGTGTAAACTAAATTGACTTGATACACTGTTTACAAACTTTATACTTTTAGAAAACTGGTCAAATACACGAGAAATCCTCCAAATGTACAATTTATGTATGTGTGCAATGGATGAGAGAGAGAGAGAGAGAGAGATCAGGGCTTGAGTTGAGGGGTTTGGAATAAAAGAACTCTAGCGACTTGGCCCTTTTTTATTCAACTAGAATCCACAATATCATCAAATTGTTTTATCACTTTGAACTCTATATCTCCCTTAAGTTGTTGTGGACTCAGGGCACCGGCTGGATAAACCAATCGGCACTCCACCCTCCTAAATAAGCAGTGGATACCACAGCAATCGAAGTTTCAAAGATAGTTAACTAATTCACAGTTTAACTTTCGTCTACAAGATTCTAACATCTCAAAACAATATTTTCCAATTTGGATTAACCTATCTAAAGGGTCATTTAAAATTATAGAAAAGTTGATATAGATCCAATTTCTCATCTAGAAGTTGGGTTTAATCCTCGAATTTGGTGACTTTGATACAAGTCCTTTGACTTTTGTGCCACATAGGATTACATTCCTTTTTAAATATTGTTTGATGTAATCTTTTTATTTTATATATTTAAAATAATTTTTTGTTCCAATATTGCCCATTATCTTAGATTACTTACCTTAATGAGATAAAACGTAAAACCTAAGGAATAATGAAGTTATTAATTGCAAGCAAATTTTATGGTGGTTTTATAATAAATTATTAAATTTATGGTAAGTAAAGCACCTAATTAGGAAGACCTTTTTTTTTCTTTTTTAAATGTTGGACATTGACATATATATAGGTTTTCTACGTTTTTAACACTCCATTATCTCTTTCTTTTCTAGCCAACCGAGTTCCTCCCCTATCCGCACACCACACTGCCTTCTTCAATCCTTTCCAACAACTGTCTTGTATCATACAGAATAAACTACAGCCACCGCGGAGAAAACCAGCCGTCTTCTCGAGTCCGCCACTCCCTGGTGTTTTTAACTCTCCTAAAGAAACCTAGAAACCCTATATATATGTTTTCTCGAGTCCGCCACTCCATTATCTTAGATTACTTACCTTATGGTGGTTTTATATGTACCGGAGATATAGGTAGCATATATTGTCCGACTTATGTTTTTATGCACCTAAGTTATAGGTAATTTAATATTCTCCTTGTTTATTTTTCCACCTTACATTTAGGTAAGATGTTTTGTGGTTTGTTCAGCCTATGATGTAGATATATTATCCTATGGTATAGATATATTGTCCTATTGTCCATTGCATAGGTATAATATGTCATATTATCTATTGCCTATTGCATAGGTATATATATGTTTTTTCCTATTTTCGACAATGTGTAATAGTATTTTATCTACCTCTTTTTTAGGTAACATACAATTTTATTTTGTCTATTTTTTTATCTGACTTATAGGTAGTCTTCAAATTTATGTTCCTAACTTATAGGTAACATGATTTATCACTAAGTATTTTTCGTTACTAATAATAACACTATTTACCTGTATGTCAGGTATATAATCTAATGTGGGTGCTTGTCTGATCGATTGGTATAATTTGTGGGTCTTTACTTTGTATTGATTAAATTGTATTTTATCCATATATTAGGAATATTATCAAGGAAAGAATTCAAAATTTAAATTATGGAATTCAATTACAAGGAAATAATGTGTTAAATTTAGATTTTCAATGTGTTTTCCTTATTTACCTCAAAGGGTAAAATTGACACAACAAAAAAAGTAATAACTGTCAAAGGACCTACATCTAAAACTAAAACCGCGAGGACTAAACCCAATTATAGCTAATCGTTTTGGACCTAGATCTAAGAAGCCCTTAAAATTAAGCTTGGAGGTAACAAGCTAAACTGCTAAGACAAAAACAATTGAACGTCACCAATTATATTAATTATTTCCCAAGTCGAGTTAAATTACCTGCCATTCCTCAAACCCTTGCAAGCTCTCAGAACTCAATTTTTTCACAGCAATCACTGTGGTTTTTCCAGACTTGGTTGGTGCCTTTTCATCAAGCCAACCTTCGAAGACCATCCCAAAGCCTCCCTCCCCAAGAACTGTATCTGATCTGAAGTTTCTGGTTGCAGCCTTCAATTCTAAATAACTGAATATCCTCAAGTTTGGGGTGGGTAAGATCTGCCCATGTGGACTGGCCTCATCGCCACTTGCTGCTGAGAACTGGCTATTCCGAGATAAAGTACTCCCCCCTGAAGATGTGGTGTTACTGGTTGTCTGAGATATGTTAATGACCCCTGAATTAGAAACAGTATAAAGTTAGAAATGACACTCACATGAAAAAGAATGGAACTTTTTTTTCTTTTCGTCATGCAGCAAGTCACAAGAATATCAACTTTCACTTGACATCCAAGAAATTCCAAGAGAAACAAAATCTAGTAACTTGAATAATGAACTAGATCAGAATATTCATTATTCAATTACTGGTCAAAACATAGTTCAGAAACATAATTTTGCATTTGAAAAGAAGGAACTTTGGCATGAAGTTTGGATTTCAATTGATCATAGGCATTGCTCAAAATCTAGTAAGAGAAAAATCAAATGCAACAAAACTCAAATGAAAATTTGAAGAGTTAATGGAATCTGGTGAACGACAAGAACAAATCATCAAAATTTACTTGTGGGCTACCTGTAGTGAGATCACCAGTAGTTACTGGCGTTGGGTTCCCAGCTGGAGAACCCCAGCAAATCCCCATCTTTGTCTCTTTCTCTTTTCTCTTCTTGTTGGATGCTATGTGGACAAACAGATGAAGATGAAGAATTTGATGTGCCTAAACTGGTCCTTTTCTCCTTGTCTGGTCTTATCAACTATTCTATCTCCTTCAAGCTTGAACCACTAAATGGGTATTTCTCTTTCTCTCTCTTCCCTCTCTCCCTCCACTATCCAAAGAAAGAAAAGAAAACGGACAAACGAATAAATAAAAAACCTCCGACTTCGTTATGTCTGTGTTTTGTGTACCACCCAATTTAGCATCCAAAGGAAGGACAAAATCAGAGCTTTCAGTCTTAAAGACCGATTCAATAAATAAATAAAAACACGGTTAAGAGGCCCTGGGTAATGCTGAAAGCAGACTAAAATGGTGTTGTTTTTCTAAGTCAACTGCCGTGGCCTTGTGAATCAGTCAGTCAAGGAAACAATTTCCATTCAAAGAAAGCAACCAGAGAGAGAGTTGAAATTAATAAATTAATAAATATCCCAAGAGACATCTGACTGAAAAAAATAACTTAATTGTCGGTCACGCTGTTATTATTAGTTAGTACGATTGTCCTAAACAAAGAGGTCTTTCTGTTCTGCCCATTGACATTTTGTTTGATCTGTTTGATGATTTTTGTTCCCTTATATATCTATGGTTAATCGTGGTTTAAAAAATATATATTTTAAAAAAAAATTGTATTAACCTGCACTAATAACCTTTAGGACTGGTATAGGGTTGTTCCTGATAGTCCTTCTGATCGCATGATGAACCTTCCAACCACTAGAAAACTGGAGAGCTTCAAGTCATTTTTCACCTTTCATTTCATCCTAAACCATCTGCAATTTTCCCCTTATTGAACAGATGGAGAGGTGGAGAGCTTCAAGTTGATCCCTGTGACGCATGTTGCAAACATCATACGAAGGACACAATTTTTCAAGCCAAATTGCTCTCTTGTCATCATTGATTTCCTGAAACTACATTCTTCTGCCAATTTATAGGAAGGAATCTTGAGCATATTAACGAATCTTGTCATTTTTCCCTTTCCAAGACCTTGAAGAGCTTCATTTGCCCACTCCGCCACTGCAACACAACAATGAATCACCAACAACAACTAAACAAAAAGGCAGACCACAATAATTAACAGTAGTCTCCCTATAAATTGTGGCTTTAGCTTCCACTTCCACCACCAACAAACTTCGAGAATCAAACAGAGTTGAATTATAAAAAAAAACAAAGAAAAGTGAGGAGCAATGGATGCTAGTGTGTTCAGGGCTGTGGTTTTGATGAGCATGCTTATGCTTGCAATAGCTCGAGCTGATATTAGTCCCTCTTGTACCAATGCGGTTCCAAATGGCAACACTCTTGGTCAAGTTGAAGATGTCTCTGATCCTTCCAATACAAATCATGTGGTTCCAAATGGTCATCTTATTCCTTTGTGGTTTACGATGTGCGAGGAAATGCATGTTGAGCCCAATATGCCTTTGCATATGCATGATTAATTGCAAGTTAACTCTTTCGGATGTTGTGTATAATTATACACAAAATTGTGCCAACTCCATTGCCATCACAGGATTATTGAGGTAATGTTAAGATATAACGAACACTTACAAAAATTTCACTCCCCTTGGCAGTTTAGAAGATAATGATGATATTCGTCCTACATCATAATTTAGGACTTTCTGTTGTTTGAAAAAGATATCCGTTTCTCTGATGATCACTTTACAAATTTTTTAATACTAGTACCTAACTTAATCCAGTTATGTCTATAAATATTGCATAAAATGGTTCTTCTGCTTGAGCTTTTACAAAAATATTATGCAAATAGAAAGTACTTCTTAACTTTAGCAACAATCCATTTTGAATCATCTTAATAGATTAAATACTGCCAAGAACCTGCAAATGACAACGGAGACTCGTTTAAAATTGTATCAACAACTAGAAGCAATAAAACCATGTACTACCAAATCTCTTCATCACTTTCACAAAAGAGTAAGATTTCAAACCACTTAAGCATGTAACCAGATTCCAACTCACCCCGCAGATCAAAAACTAAGACTGACTTTCAGAGAACCAACACAGAACAGAACCTAGTAAACTATTGCATACTCTGACATGACATCAGCCAAAATAAAATCAATGGAGGAACATAAATTCAAGCCTTAAGTCAGGAGTAAAAGTAAAATTCACCGACACCGCATTAAAAGCGAGAAATTATTGCAAAATAACAAGGGATGAATCTCAATTGCTCCTGTTTGGTTCATTTTCAGTGAGAACAAGCAATCATGGAAAATAGGGATCAGGGTGCAGCTCAAAACCATGCTTGTGCTTCCTGCAAGCAGCAGAGGAGAAAATGTGATGAGACCTGTGAAATGGCCCCATACTTTCCAGCCAGCAGGTACAGTGAGTTCCAAAATGCTCATAAGATCTTTGGTGTGAGCAACATCCAAAAGATCATGGCCATGGCTGCACCTGATCAAAGACAGGCAGCTGCTGAAAGCTTTCTCACGGAAGGGAACACAAGGAAAAATGATCCTGTGCGTGCTGTCTTGGCATTATCAGAAGTCTCAATGCCCAAATTCGGGGACTTGAAAGAGAACTCTATATTATGAAACAGCACCTAGAACTTTCCAAGGAGAAGGAAGAACTTGTTGGGAAAAAAAACCAATCCAAAGAAGAAGACTTGCAGCATGACCAATCTGCTGGTCTCAATTTCCCATCACCAATCCTCCCTGATCTCGTATGACTATGATCTTAATTTTTCTCCGCCTGCTTTTTTTTTTTGTTTAAAAATAGTATACCCGATCGGCTTCACTTGGTTATATTTTTTTTAAAGAAATAGTATCGCCGCCCGGCTATACTCGATTTTTAATTTTTTTTTAAAAAGGCAATAGTATAGCCGCGCGGCTCTACGCCGCTCTTTTATTTTATTTTTTTAAAGAAATAGTATCGCCGCCCGGCTATACTCGGATTTGCCTATTTTTAAAAAGAAACTAATTTTTTTATAAATAATATAGCCGATCGGCTTCACTTGGCTATATTTTTTTTAAAGAAATAGTATCGCCGCCCGGCTATACTCGATTTTTAAAAAATTTTTAAAAAAGGCAATGGTATAGCCGTGCGGCTATACTTGGCAGAATACAAAAAGAAGATCGAATTCAGAAATGAAAGCTACCATGACAAACCCACGATTACAGTTTTCAATTGGACACTTAAAGAGTTTCCCTTGGTGCTGAAGAAGATGACGATTTAAGTCGTCCTTTCTTCTGAAGCTGGAAAGACAATCATCCACTGAAAAAACATATGGCCGCTGTAAAGAATCAGCTAAATGAACAAGCATTTAATTCTAACTGAATAGTTCGTGATTGAGGCTTGCTTGATGGAGCTTCCCAAGAGGTCTCCCACCTAGTACTGGTCCATTCAAGTCAAACCCTCGCGCATTTTGGAGTTCTTTGTGTGGGATCCAATGCTCCACATTGTCCAGCATATACTTCTTTAAAATGTCGATTCCTGCAAAAATTATAACTTCAATTGATGCAAATACTACAGAAACCTCACCCAAAAACTGAAAAATAAGCTAAAAGGAATTCACGAAGGAATAACCATATAATTTCAAAGTGCACAGGTCAAGCATTCAAACCTCAAACCGAGCAGTACGTGATTGAGGTTCACTTGATGGAGCTTCACAGGTGGGAGATAAAGAATAATTGACTGACCACTTTATCTACTTTATCTAATATTCCATAGTGATGGTGTCGGCTAGTTGTAGTGTTATCATAGTTGTAGTATTATTATAGTGTAGTGTTATTATAGTGTCGGCTTTACAACTCAAAGGCTCTCTCGATACAGGTGTTAATATTCTCATCATCCCATATAAAAACCATCTCCTTGTAATCGTGTAAGATATTGATTTGATAAGAGAAAACATTTTATTAAGTACTGTCTTTCATGGTATCAAGAGCCTAAGACTTACTGTCTCCTTTTCCTTTCATAATTTTTTTTTCTTCTGACTTCATATCATGGCCTCTTCAACTTCATCTCTGTATGATTCCTATTTCTCGAGCATTTCCAACTTCATCTCTGTCAAGCTTGACCGCAAGAACTATTCTTGTTGGCTTGCTCAAATTGTTCCTGTACTGCGTAGCCGTAAACTCATGTCCTATGTTGACGGCTCCAGCTCCTGCCCACCACCCACTATTTCTACATCTTCCTCCAAAGAAGGTGACGCTCCATCTTCACCTATTCCTAATCCTGCATATGATGAATGGATTCAAAAAGATCAGCTTGTGTTGTCCTGGATAAATGGCTCTCTCCACTCTTCTGTTCTCTCCACTGTTTCTCGTCTCTCTACTGCTCGTGACACATGGTTGTCCCTTGAGAAGCGTTTTGCCTCCACTAATCCTCATCGTCTGTTATTCTTGCAGAGTGAACTTCATAACACTCTTCGTGGTGATTCTTCTGTCCAAGAGTTCTTGGATCGTATCAAGTCTATTGCCGATGATCTAGGCCAGGCAGGTGAATCGGTTTCTGAGTCTCTTCTTGTCTCTCTTATTTTAAAGAATGTTGGCCCGATGTATGAAACTGTGGTTTCTGCTGTCCTTTCCCGAGGGACACCGATTACATATGATGAACTTGAGGTTCTACTTCTCTCTGCTGAAAAGCGCCTCCAGTCCGCTTCTGTTCCAGCGGCTATTTCTGGCGTCTCTGCTTTAGTGGCTTCCAGAGGTCGTGGTGGTGGCCACCGTGGTGATTCTTCTTCTAACAATCGCGGGTCTTTCTCTACCTCTCGAGGTGGTGGCCGTCGTGGTGGCTACACTCCTGGCAGTCGTGGATCATTCCAGTTTGGTAATGGTCGTGGTGGTTCTTCTCTCAGTGGTCATGGTGGATTTTTTCAGCCACGATATGGTGCTTCAGGGATTCTTGGTCAAGTCCCTTCTCAAGGTGTTCGTGATTCTTCTTCTTCCTATGGTGGGTCTACTTCTGAGGTTCGCCAGTGTTACTCATGTCAAGGCTTTGGCCACATCGCCAAAAATTGCCCATCTCGTTTTCCTCTGCCTTATAACAACAGGGCCCCACCCCAACGACTTCAGGGCATGGCTGCATATCATTCTCCTCCTCATGGTGTTCAGAATTGGGTTACAGATACCGGTGCAAATGCACATGTCACCAATGATTTGAGTCATCTTTCACATACTAGGGAATATCGTGGTTCCGACACCGTCGCGGGTGTACTTGGTGGACAAGGTTTAAAAATTAATACCGTTGGCGATACTTCTTTTTCCCATAACAAGTTTTGTTTTGCACTTAAAGATATTCTTCATTGCCCTAATGCTTCTTTGCCATTGCTGTCAGTTCACAAATTTGCAAAAGATAATAATTGTTTCTTTACCTTTTATCCCGACAATTTTTGTGTGCAGGATTTGGCGACGGGGAGGACTCTTTTCTGGGGCAAGAGTGAAAATGGTCTCTATCCGTTTAAATTCTCACCAAACTCGTCTTTTCAAATCTCTCCAAATCGTGTTGCTTTGTTAGGTGTCCGCGTTGATAGTTTCGTGTGGCATTCTCGTCTTGGTCATCCAGCTTCTCCCACTTTGCAATTTTTAATTTCCCACAATAAGTTGCCATTGTCTGGCACGAAAGTCCTCTCTAATTCTGTTTGTCATTCGTGTCCGCTTGGTAAAAGTGTTAAATTACCTTTTAGTTCTTCAATGTCTGTTTCTACTTCACCGTTAGAACTTATCCATTCCGATGTGTGGAGTTCTTCTAATAAATCTATTTCTGGTTTTAATTATTATGTTTTATTTGTCGATGATTTTTCTAGATATTCTTGGATTTTTCCCATGAAATTAAAATCTGAAGTTTTCTCTCATTTTGTCACATTTAAAACTCTTGTTGAAAATATGTTCTCCACTAAAATTAAAACCTTTCAATCTGATGGTGGTGGGGAATATACTAGTTATCAATTTAAACAGTTCTTAGATAATCATGGCATTTTTCATCGTAAATCTTGTCCTCACACTCCTGAACAGAATGGTCTAGCAGAACGCAAACATAGGCACATAGTGGATACAGGTCTTACCCTTTTGGCTCATGCGTCAATGCCTCCATCCTACTGGGTTGAGGCCATGCATACTGCAGTTTATTTAATTAATCGTCTTCCAACTAAAGTCCTAGGTTTTCAATCCTCTTATCAGAAGTTATTTAATAAGGAACCTAATTATGCATTTTTAAAAACCTTTGGTTGTGCTTGTTTTCCATATTTACGTCCTTATAATCATAATAAACTTCAATTGCGGTCTACCAAATGTGTATTTCTTGGATATTCTTTGAATTATCAAGGATATAGGTGTCTTGATCTTAAAACTAATAGAGTTTTTTTATCCCGTCATGTTGTGTTTGATGAGAACTCTTTCCCATTTTCTGAGGCTAATATTGCTCGTGTCAAGGATGTGTCCTCTTCTTCGTCAAATTCTGTGCAACCCCTTCACATCGTCGGGCATCTTCCTCTGCATACATCTTCTGTGACTGCTGCTAGCTCTTCCCAAGGTACTATTTCTCAAGTGGGCTCCCCTACATTATCACCAAGTTTTTTATCACAAACCAATCTCCAACAAAGTTCTTTAGCCGACCCTTCTCCTCATGTGGGTCCTCCACTTGTCCCTCCACCATCTTTAGCATGTCCTCTTCCTACACAATCCTCTCCTGCCACTTTTCCCACTCTGTCTCCACCAACCCAATCCGAAATGCCCAGCCCAACCACTCCAAAGAGTACTCTCCGCACCTATTTTCGAAATCCACATCGTCAAATTGCTTTTTCTCCCCCAATAACCTCTTCTGTCACCAACCCTGTTTCTGAACCACATTTACCAAGTACATCCTCTTCGTCTTTGCCCTTAGTGAGTGATTCTACAACTCATTCCATGGTGACTCGTTCTAAGACTGGTATTTCTAAACCTAATCCTAAATATGCTAATCATGCCTTCCTCGATTCTCTTACTAATGAATCTGTTGAGCCAACATCTTTTTCACAGGCTCATAAGCTTCCTAAGTGGCGTTTGGCAATGTCTGATGAGTTTAATGCACTTCTTCGTGCTGGAACTTGGGATTTGGTCTCATATCAACCTCACATGAATGTTCTACCAAGTAAATGGGTTTTTCGTATAAAAAGGAATTCAGATGGCTCCATTCAGCGGTATAAAGCACGTTTAGTGGCTAATGGGTTTCATCAACAAGCGGGCCTAGATTATGGGGAGACTTTTAGCCCCGTTGTGAATCATTCAACTATCCGACTTGTGTTGGCTCTTTCCGTTCAGTTTCATTGGCCCATTCGTCAACTGGATGTGCAAAATGCATTTCTTCATGGATATCTCACTGAAGAGGTTTATATGCGCCAACCAGTTGGTTTTGTCGATCCCACGCATCCGCATCATGTGTGCAAGCTTCGTCGTTCTTTGTATGGTTTAAAACAGGCTCCACGAGCTTGGTTTCATTGTTTCTCTACTCATCTTATTCAATTGGGCTTCCAGGCTTCGCTTGCTGACTCATCTCTTTTTGTCTACATTCATGGCTCCGTTCGCATTTATCTTTTAATTTATGTTGATGATATTTTGGTTACTGGTAATGATACTGCTAGTATCTCCTCTTTGATTTTGGATTTGGGTCGTTTATTCTCTATGAAAGATCTTGGGCCAGCTCACTATTTTCTGGGTATGGAATTAACTCGAAATTCTCACGGTTTATCACTTACTCAATCCAAGTATATTGTTGATATTCTTAAGCGTACAAAGATGCATGAAGCCAAACCGGTGTCAACGCCAGCTATTTCAGGTAAACGTTTCAGCATTACGGATGGTGATCCTCTTCCTGATGCTACTGAATATCGGAGTGTTGTTGGTGCCCTTCAGTACTTGACTCTCACTCGTCCCGATATTGCGTTTGCGGTCAACCAAGTTTGTCAGTTTATGCATCGTCCTACTACTATTCATTGGATTGCCGTCAAACGCATTCTTCGGTACCTCAATGGCACAATTACTCATGGTTTGCTCTATCGCCCTAGTCCACTTCATCTAATTGCTTACTCTGATGCGGATTATGCGGGTGATCCGGATGATCGACGGTCCACTGGTGGGTATTGTATTTTTCTTGGTAACAACTTGATTTCCTGGAGTTCGAAAAAGCAGCGTGGTGTCTCTCGTTCTAGTACGGAAGCCGAATACCGTCAATTAGCATATACTGCTGCGACCATCTCCTGGCTACGTTCTCTGTTCCAAGACTTACAGCTTCCTCTCTCCGTTCCTCGCATATGGTGTGATAATATTAGTGCCATTTCTTTGGCTGCCAATCCCGTGTTTCATGCTCGCACGCGCCATGTCTCGGTTGATTACCATTTCGTCCGTGAGAAAGTAGTTCAGAATGAGCTTGATGTTCGTTACTTGTCCACAGTGGATCAGGTGGCTGATATTTTCACCAAGGGATTGTCTGCTGCCCGATTTACTCTTCTTCGTTCCAAGCTGACCGTCCATGAGCGGCCTGTCAACTTGCGGGGGTGTAAAGAATAATTGACTGACCACTTTATCTACTTTATCTAATATTCCATAGTGATGGTGTCGGCTAGTTGTAGTGTTATCATAGTTGTAGTATTATTATAGTGTAGTGTTATTATAGTGTCTGCTTTACAACTCAAAGGCTCTCTCGATACAGGTGTTAATATTCTCATCATCCCATATAAAAACCATCTCCTTGTAATCGTGTAAGATATTGATTTGATAAGAGAAAACATTTTATTGAGTACTGTCTTTCAGGAGACTAGTCCATTGAAGTTAAAAATGTTGAATCCTGCAAAAATATATATATATATATATATATATATCTTCAATTGATGCGGAAATTACAGGACCTTCACACCCGAAAAGTAAGGAAAGTTATAGACACAATCAGCTGTAATGAAGCTATCAAACTAATAGGTACGTAGCACATCAAGCTATACAAGCAATACCTCAAGGGAACAATAGCAAACAATAACTAAAGGAAATGGCTTTGCATGTGTCGCTTGAAAGTAGCACAACCTTCTAGCTTTTCTGCATGTTACACATCAAGCAATTTAAGTAAGAATCTACTTTGAACACAAGTAGGAAAAAAATAATATATATTCATGTTTGCACATCAGCGTTAATTTTTTCAACAGGACTAATAACAACATAATCTCCACCCAAAAATAAAAAAGATGGACATGGAAATTCATGTCCCATTTGTGATTCTGGATATTGAGGTGCTCATATTTGATATGCATGAAACGTACCAGGGCTGAGGTTGGTGCAGATGGAAGTTGTGCAACCAAGATTGCAGTAGTAGAGAGGGTCTGGGAGCGTCTTCTTAAAAGCTTTCAAACACAAGCCAGTACAAATTGTGCTGGGTTTAACACAATGACAGAAGAGCATGCATTTGAGCAGGCACGTTATCGACTGAGCCTGCATTTGACTCACCAAAAACACGATCATCGTCATGAGTCATGATGATGAGTACTGCTTGCACAAGTCTCCTGGAACCCTTTCCTTCCATATTGCTCTTTATATCCCATATTTCCTTCTTGAAATTTTGAGGTGCATGTAGAAGGTAAAACAATCCTTGAATTTATAGGCCTCAGTCTTAGCCATGAAAAGAAAAAAGGTGAAATTAAATTTTGTAGATCCTTGAGTAATAAGCTAGACCATGAATCCAATTCATGCATAGATTCAGATTGACATTTAATATACCAGGGTCTGCTTTCATTAATGGCATTTTCTGGTTCTCTTTAGCATACGCTAAGTGTCCTCTCTTGACATATGTTGTGGACAAGAGAGAGCTTTCTTGTATGTTCTTCATGCAGATCTTGCTTTTAATACATTTGAGAGTTCTAATCCTAGTCTTTAAAACTTCTGGTTGAGACCCTTTGGATTTGAGGTTGGAATTTCCTACAGTCCTGTCTAGTCCATCTTTTCCTTGTATGGCAAGATTTATATTATTTTCACCAAATTTATTCAGCACCAGTAAACAGCAGTCACCAACTACTTTATGGGAAGAACATAAAGTGTTTTATTACTGGTAATTTGCAGTTTATATATGTATTTTACTGAATCCACTATATGCACCAGTGTAATTTGTTAAAGCACATATAACATTCCATTTCGATTGATCCTTACAACATGTTCCCTCCTGGGATATACTACAAAACACAGATATAAGTTTTATTTGCAAATACAACAGTAAAAGCAGGAGCAGCAAGTTTTAAGTGAAATTAATTATTCCTTTAGTCTAATTA